ATTTAGATAAAAAGAATATGAACAGCTTAACTCATTACAATGCTCTGTTTTCTGGGGGGTGAGGTTTGGGGAAGATGGCATTCAGTTCTATTGGCAGAGATTTTACATGTGTTTCAACAATCTGTAACTCTAAGATAAATAGGATTTCATCAGTTAATAAAAAATTTAAGCCCATTTAGTTCTGATAAATACGTGTGTAGTAACTTGTGCAAAATGTGTGCAAAGTGGATACAAAGTGCTACAATAATGAACTGATAGCATTTGACACCTATTGGACATTCTCTTTATAGAGTACTCATTGCAAGAGGCTGGGCAGTGAGTACAGAATCAGACCCATTTTGTTAAATTAATCCTAAAAGCTAAAATAAAAGCCTTGCTTTTGATTCCCTATAGCTCAGACTGAGTGGTTGGACGTAAAAAGCATTTTAAAAGGCAATTTCAGTTATTAAAACTAGAGAGCTGCTTGGAGGCCTTCAAATATGGAATTATTAATTTCTTCTGCTTGTCAGTATCTGAAACTGACTACTTCTCAACTTCCTTATTCCAGCTCATGTATGTGTGCATTTTCTGGTGTATTTGAAAGGAACAACAACCGGCCTGCCTCTGAGGAGAGAAATTTCTGTTTAAGGCAACAAAAACATTTATCTCAGTTTTATTAGCCGGAAGGAACACAAAGTTTGAGAACAAAAATCCAAGCCTACCAAAAAGTCTTCATACACTCATTCTAAGCTTCTTTCTGGAGAGAAAGGAAGATATAAGAGAAGCCATTAGGGAGCCTCTATCTGGTAAACGCACAGCCACGCATTTTACCAGGTAGAAGTACTAGAGATGCCCAGAGTAACTGGGCGCATCTGCACGAGAAGTTTACGGTACAGTTGACTAAATAGCTGTGCAGTAAAAGTGTGCCCCTGTTAGGCTGCAGTAAACTAATTTACTCTGCAGCAGGATGTAAATACAAGTACTATCCTGCTGCAGAATAAAAAACTCCACAGCAGCTCACATGTAGACACTTGAGGGGCTGGCTGGGGCATCAGGGTGCTTCAGTGAGGGGCTAGCCAAGCTAAATATTCTGTGGAGGGGCTAGCCCTCATGCCCCAGCCAGCCCCTCCACAGAATATTTAGCTTGGAGCAGCCCCGGGCTGGCAGACTGACCTCTGGGGTCCCTGCCATCCAGGGCTGCTCCAACCCAGCTCCACGTGCTGCACGTGGCAGGTTTGCTGCTTTTGCCTGGCAAGCCCGGTTTGGAGAAAGACACTTTGGATTGGTGGAACATTTCCACCAATCAGGTAATAGCTGGGAGGGGCTTGCTCTGCCCCTGCTTGGAGTGGGGCAGTGCGGGGAGCCCCTGGACCTGACTGAAGACTGCACTTTGCAGGTTTGGCAGACTTCAGGGGCGGGGCCTCTGGTGTAAATAAAAGCCCAGTGTGCTTAGCATGCTGGGCAGATACAGCGAGGGACTCAAGAAAAGCAGAGCCAAGAAAAGCTGGGGAGCTCTCCCTCAGCGGGCAATAGGCCCAAGGCTCCTGAAGCTGCCACTGGAGGAGCAGCCTTGGGAGCAGTGCAAGACAACTTGGGCTGTTGATGGTGCACGGGGATGGTGCAAGGAGACCTGGCCCTGGCTCAGGCCCATCACGGTACGCGGTTTGGTGCACAGAGCCCAGACTTTGGGAGCCACAAACGGCGGCTTGAGCCTGCAACCCCGGCAGGGCCAGCGGGCCACACGGTGCATGGGGCAGCACATGGGGCAAGGGCCTTGGGGGCCACAGTAAGGCAGTTCAGGCCTCATCTCTTGGCAAGTGGCTAGGTCCCATGGTGTACAGGGCAGTGCACAGCCCCAAGCCTTGGAAGCCAAGGAGCAGCGGAGGCTGCTTGGGTTAGCCACCTGGCATGAGGATGGACAGTCAGAGCCTGAAGGCCCAGCCTGTGCTAAAAGAGCCCTCGAAGCCAAAGCCAGGGCACAGGGAAATAGTAGTGCTGCAGCGTGAGGCCCAGCACCCAGAAGCCAGCAGCAGCAGTGCAGCAGCTGAGAGGAGCTAAGCCCTCAGTGCTGAGAGCGGTTCAGAGGGTGGGGTAGAGCCCAGCAGCTCAGGAGAGGCCTGGAGAGGTGCTCCAGCACAGCAGACCCCATCGAGCTGCACCCTGACCACCGCCACCTGAGGGAGCGTGAGTCATTGGGCCCTTGGGTCCCACAGGGGAAAGACGTTTGGGGCGGGCAAACCCAGAGAAGGGGCTGGGTGAGCAGCCCCCTGCCTAGTCAAGGCCCTAAAGAGAGGGCCCCTGGTACATCCTGGACACCCCCCACAAGGGACCCCATTGGAAGGAGGACTATCTCTTGCCATGGGTCAGGGACTATATTAAGGAATAGATGCTATTAAGATTGTTCATGTTTGCACCTTATATTTTGTAATTGAAATGTTGTATTGTGATGTTGTATTGTGTTCATGCTGCTGAAATTGTTTTATTGAGATGGGTAAATACAGTTATCATAGGACAGTGTAATTTTTGAAAAGTACCCTGTTGGTTTCTTGGAATGCTAGGTCCCCTAACTGAGTAGGGGTCCATTTGATGCCTATCTTTCTGCATTAAAGAAAGAGGGAACTTGGTTATTGGTTAATGTTCACTGTGTAAATATATGTATATGATATTTAGTTTTATATTTATGTATATTATAACTCAATAAATTGTATATAGTTAAGAACTTTGGGCTTGGGCTAACTCTACAGAGGGAAGAGGGATCCACTCGAAATTCTGGCATCCCTCTCACAGCACCCCCTCCTGCCTACCCATCCCATCCAATTGAGAATTGGGCACACCCTTGGGTGTACCTGGGTTACATGTGTGTAAATAAACTCTGGAGCTCATTGCTCTGGAATTAATTGCTCCCAGGCATATGTTCAAATGGTGTACCTGGGAACAATTAACTCCAGAGCAATAAGCTCTGGAATTTATTCATATATAGTAATAGCACATGTAGACACACCCACTCTGTACTAGAGATGTCCAGACTAATTCTGAGTGTGCTAGCTCAGGTACTCAATGCACCACAGCTAAGTTTGCATGGAACTCTGTCCAGGCTATTTCTCAGGAGGGTTAATTAGCCAAGCTTGAGTGTCGTGTTAACATAGCCACATGGCTTCTGATATCTGAGGTAGTACATTCAGAGCTAGTTTGTATATCTCTACATGACATAGCATTGTTCAGTGTAGGCATGTCCTAATACTGACTTTGTTACAATGCAAGAATCTTTTGAGAAATTAGACATTGTCACTATAATCTGAGTGTGGCTACAGAAATTTTAAGGCCAGGCTGAGATTGGAGCATATAAAACCTGGCATTACTTACTGGCATCCTCTGAATCTTTAACGATTGCGTCCCATACTGGTTTTTCATGATTTTGTTAAGGACTGATATCAGAATGGCCACCCTACTGTTACCAAGCTCATCCTATTTACACTGTTTAAATATAACCATGACATTAGCACCTTTTTCAGTCCTCTGAAATCCTCCTGGTATTCCAAGATTTATTAAAAAACAGTATTAACTTTTCAGCTTGTCTCTTGGCTGATTATTTTAACACTCATGGATACGAGTTATCCAGTCTTGTAGTTTTAAAAAAGATTATATTGGATACTTGCTGTTTAATACTGAGTTCTGTTCAATAGAGTGGGCATATCCAAAATTCAGAGGTGACATGAAAGGTGGCTAGACAATTTTGCACACATCTAACCCTATTGAACACATTTAACCCTTACAGTCACTAGGTGATATATTTAAGAGTGTCTAAGAGGACTTAGTATGCAACCTCCACCACTCTCTGTACAGTGCCAGTGGTGAATAAACCCCTTGCCCACTGGGCAGTGCCAGCAAGCGCATGGCCTCCTTGCCTGGGAGGGATCCTTTTCTTTTTCATGTCCTTGTGACAACATATTTAGGAGAATCTGCAGATTCATTGGAATCTGACAGTGCCGGGCTGTGAGCACTACTGTTATGGCCTCAAACTTGCGACCCCTGGACTGTCAACCATGAAAAGTCTTCATTTCAGTTAAAAGAAAAAAGGAGATGAGGGGGAGTTTTGATGAAAAAAATCCAACTACCTCTAGTCTAAACTAGACAAAATTAGTCTATTTGAAACTACTCAAAATGTGTCTCCCCTCTCATGCACACTGTGTACGTTACACCAAGTCACAGAATTGTAGAATCATAGAAAATTAGGATTAGAAGGGACTTCAGGAGGTCATCTAGTCCAACCACCTGCTCAAAGCAGGACTATACCCAACTAGATAATTCCAGCCAGGGCTTTGTCAAGCCAGGCTTTAAAAACCTCCAAGGATAAAGATTCCACCACCTCTCTGGGTAACCCGTTTCAGTGCTTTGCCACCCTCCTAGTGTGAAAGTTTTTCCTAATATCCAACCTAAACTTTCCTTGCTGTAACTGGAGACATTGCTCCTTGTTCCATCATCTGCCACCACTGAGAACAGTCTAGCTCCTAGGAACCAGTCTAGCTTCTTTGGAACCATCCTTCAGGGAATTAAAGGCTCCTATCAAATCCCCTCAGTCTTCTCTTCTGCAAACTAAATAAACCCAGTTCCCACAGCTGCTCCTCATAAGCAGGGTTCCTGGTTTTCTCTGTTAAAAAAAATCCCCATTTTTTTAATTAAAAAGTAACCCCAAATCCACATTTTTCTGTGATTAAAATGAAACACGACTGTATGTATCTATATATTAGTGACATTTCATTTTGATCATGCAAAAGTGTTAATTATGGGTTACTTTTTTTAATCTGAAAATTGGGGATTTTTTTTTTTATCAGAGAAAACCAGGGTCCCTGCTTATAAGTCATGTGCCCCAGCCCATAAAATTTGCTGGTCATACTAAGGATCTCTTTGACTTTCATTAGAGAGAATTAGCTGTGTTAGTCTGAAATCAGGTAGAAGGCAGGGTGGGGTGGCACCTCAGGTACTAACTGGTTCAGAGACATGAACTTTCATAGGAGACAGCTATGTGTAGATCTAGAATTGTGAAAGGGGGGTGCGATGGTGAAGTGCATCATCACGTGTACAACAACATATATTCTTCTCCAGTTAATAATAAATTAGAAGCTTTACTAATAAGCTTGGGGCATAGGGCTGTATTATTCAGTTTAAGATTGAAGCAAAAAATGAATATAACTTATTGAAATGAGTTAAAACAGTCTGAAGGGATGTGAAAGAGGAGCTTCATTACCAGGAGCAGCTAAGCAACAGTAGAATTGCAGGATGAAGGATATCTTGCTTAGTGGAACTTCAAGATTATTACAAAAAAGAAAGGGTCATAACACCCATGTAATGAAGTGTTTAGGAGGGATCAGATAGATTATGAGCCATGATATGAAGTGAGTCCTTCAGCACTACATCACTAGAACTGCTGCTGACACCGCCGGACAGCTAGTTTAAACTTTGGGTTTAGTAGGAATCAAAGGTCCTTGGCAACAGCCTATTTCATCAGTCTCATCTCTCTGACTGACTGCAAATGTGCCAAAGTAGTGCAAGCTGTAGTAATGATTTTTGAGATGTGAATGGACACTGGTATATTTACTAGTTGTAAGAGAAAAACTTATTATATAGTAATTAATCATCTCGAAAACTGAAGTGTTTCTCAGAAAGTCTGATTAGCATCAAGGTGTATGTTGATTTTTGTGCTACTTAGAGGTATTTTCCTCAATTTCAATGACAGAAATTCGGGGTAAAAAAAATTGTTTTAGAATGATTAAAATGTATTTTATAATTCAACCTCATTTTTAGATTAGTAATTTTAGTAAATATAAATTGGGAAAAGAACCAGCATCCATCTCCCGTTGCTGAATTTTTAAACCGTCTTCCATGTTGCCCTTTACCATGCTCTTCAACAAAATTCTGTCTTCTGTTTCCCTTACCACATTATTTGAGACAAGTCATATCCAAGGGATGTTTGGAGGAGTAACATTTCAAATTATTGCCTTTGAAATGCATGTGTTTCCTGAAGGGGAATACAGGAAACATAGCTTTGTTCTGGTAAACTTAAATGCTAGAAATAATGATTTTGTAGTATCAATAATCTATTTTACTCATAATTTTAACTTTTAGCCACCAGCTGATTCAGTAAGACAGAAGTATAAAACAAAACCTGCAGAAAAAATATGTTTAGTACATACACCCATGTGAAATTGGGACTTTATGTACCTTTCTAAAATAATGATAAATAGATTATTTCAACCTGGCAAATTTTAACGTATGGAGAGTCAAAGCAAGAAAATGCCATGCGGCTTCCTGATTGCATTAGGAACTGTAAATCTGCATTCTTGAAGCTAATAAAAACACAGCAAACAGAAATTGGATTTTACACATTTTATTTCTAGACTTTAGGGTTTGTTTGTTTTTTTGTATTTTTTTTGCTGGAAACTTGTCTGTTACAGGTCTGTTGGTGAAAATGTGCATTTCAGACCAGTGATGCCAATAAGTACAATATAAACAATGTACAAATATGAATTGCTTGCTTACTATAGATTGTTATAATAATGTGACAAATAAAGCATCTCTGTTGGCACATGAACCCGCTTCAGGATTTGGCCTCTTAGTTTATGCATTATTTAAAGAAATTTGCAGTACACACTGCCACTCAGTGTAACACATAATTTAACCAACAACCACTAAGTCAATATCATGTTTGGTTCAGAGACACAGAGATGCCACAAACAGAAGTGTTTATGAGGTAAGCAGTAAGAAATGTTCCTGAAATTTGGACAGAATGTATCCAGTCTTCCTGGGTCCTGCGACTGCTAGTAGCATTGCAATGCTGTATTTATACACTATGAAGGATCTTAA